CCGCTACTCCCGACTCTCGCGAATAGTCCATTACGGCCTGCCGTCGAGTGCGTACGCCTTCGCTTCCGTCGCGCGGTGTGACTGGCATGTCACTTCTGTCACCAGTTGTTACGTGTCGGGATGGGGTTCGAAATTATATGCCAGTTCACGCTTGACAGTTCTTTATTCACCACACAGTTCACACAATGTTAATTACAAAACACTCGCTAAATACTGTATTTCACTATACAAGTCTCTAAACAATCTCACTTGAACACTTTTGTTGCACTTTGATCGCCTTTGGATTCGCTCCGAAATCGCTGTTGAAACTCAACTGTCTCTGCGCGGCGTCAATCACGCTTATATCCGCCGATCGACGCATTCTAGAAAGTACCTGTTAAATTGAGAATTACCTAGCACCCGCGAGTACGAAATACCTACTTATACCTACGCAGGTAACACGCATAACTTGTAAACAAGTGCAGATGTCGTTGCACTTTCTCCCTTACGTCGCACTGCATAAGGCTCATTTCAGAATGAGCCGCATTACTCGACCTCTATCGCGACCCGCGGTGATCTGGCACTTTCGCGGTTACGTTTCGAGAGCGTTTGTGACGGTATCCTAAATACTAAGTAAATCTGTCTGTGTATGAACATTTTACGACATATACAAACAAAATAAGAATTACTAAACAGTATTAATTATTTGTATATATGTATGAATCTATTTTTTTCTCTACACAATTATTGCATGAACAAAAGTACTTCTTTAGAACCTATACATATTATAATGTTATGATATTCACATCAGACTATTACTATAATTTCAGTTTCCCTTTTTTTTTGTGACGAGTGGAAATGCTTTTACGCACCATACCGTGACGCTGACTAGGCGCACGGCGTGTGTGGGACTCGCCGGCACGGGAAACAGTGCCGACCCTACTCAAGCAGGACCAGTGCGGAAGGCCACACTGATCCTACTCCACTAAAACCCTCCGGTACCCTATATGGGGACGTCTCAGGATCGACGCACCTTAGCGTGCGCCACTTCACTGGGACGCCCCCGGGCAGGCCCGGCCCAACGAGTGGACCGGGCAACGCGCCTCAGGGGGACTGCGCTAGGGTACTAGGCAGTCCTCAGACGTGGTGGCCTATGCCGGAGCGGCACCTAGGACGCGCGGCTGGTCAGGCCGCGCCCAGACCACCTTAGGGCCGTCGAAGACCGGCAGTCACCGCTGCCTGCCTCCTTCGGCCCACCCGTCTACGCCGGAGAGGGGGGGCTAGAGCGTCCTCCTCCCGCTCCCTCTCCGCTGCCTCCTTCTGCGCCATCACAGATTCGCAGAAGGAGGCGGCCGCCCTCCAGGCTCTCTCGCTACCAAGCATAGCTCTTACCATACTTGGCAGCGTGTGTGTGATGACGCGCAGTGATGACACCGCGGCGTCTCCTCCCGACGGGCGACTCGGTGCAGGTAGTGACCGAAGCATCCATGTCCGGTCAGTACCTGCACCAGGCGGTAGGTGAGGGTACCCCGCTGGCGCCCTACCCACTCCTCCAACACCGGACGAATCGCCTCGATCGTCCGGTGGCCAACGGCTGTGTTGGCGAGTGCCTCCACCCATCGGCGCACAGCCTCCCTCTGCGCCTCGGTGCGGACCCGTTCAGTCTCCTCTAGAACGGGTCGCTCGCCCCGCTCTCTTGCCGCGACCCGGTGTTGATGCACCTGGGACAGTACCAGGGCATCAACCTCCCACGGGAGCGTGCCTGCTAGGACGCAGGCAGCCCCGTGGCTGACCGTGCGGTAAGCCCGCACGGCCCGGGCCGCGATGACCCTCTGCGGTCTTCGCAGAAGGGCCCACGTGCGGGACGAGAGGCACTCCGCCCAGACCGGGGCCCCGTACAGCGCCATAGACTTTATCACGGAGTGATAAAGCCGACGGCACTTCGCCCTCAGCCCTCCCACATTGGGGAGGAGCCGTCCGAGTCCAGCTGCTGCGGCGCACAGCCGGGGAGCGAGGAGCCTAAAATGCTCCTCGAAGCTCCACCGGGGATCCAGGGTCAGGCCAAGATACTTCATGTGCATCTCGACATGAACCTGGATCCCCTCAACCCGGACACGGAGCCCCGGTGGGGAATTTCAGTATCCCCTGGGTCTACCTTGCAACGCAGTACTTTTAATGTCATAATATTATTATGAATATCAAAGGACGACACAAACTTCATTTTGCAGAAAAGCATTCAAATGAATAATTTAATAATCATTTTTAGGCGTAAATTTAATATAGTAAAAAAGTCACTGGAAGGCTAAAATCTCTTCCAGCGACTAAAGCCTTTAAGTACAGATTTTAAAAAAGAACCACTATCATATGGCTGAAAGTTCAGAGTCAGAATCGTCTTTTGGCTTTTGTATTTAACAATTATCTATCTATGCTTGTTTATTTATCTATTATCTAGTGACTGTCGCTTCGCCGACAGCTGCCGCGGCGCGCTCATTTCGCCAGGCCGGGCACACGATCAACGTGTGCTCGGCCGTGTCGTCGGGAGAGGCGCAGTGATGACACCGCGGCGTCTCCTCCCGACGGGCGACTCGGTGCAGGTAGTGACCGAAGCATCCATGTCCGGTCAGTACCTGCACCAGGCGGTAGGTGAGGGTACCCCGCTGGCGCCCTACCCACTCCTCCAACACCGGACGAATCGACTCGATCGTCCGGTGGCCAACGGCTGTGTTGGCGAGTGCCTCCACCCATCGGCGCACAGCCTCCCTCTGCGCCTCGGTGCGGACCCGTTCAGTCTCCTCTAGTACGGGTCGCTCGCCCCGCTCTCTTGCCACGACCCGTGTTGATGCACCTGGGACAGTACCAGGGCATCAACCTCCCACGGGAGCGTGCCTGCTAGGACGCAGGCAGCAGCTTCGCGCACTCGGCTCGCGCTAAGATTAAATCCCTCAACGGGGATCTCGCGGTTCCGCACTTAACAGCGTAGAGGGTATTCGCAGGGTGTTTTAGCGGATAGTACTATGGAGTTCTACCCAGAATGGATAGAACCTGGGGACGTGACTCTTCAGTAAAACAACTAGACGATGGTTATTATTTTATATTATCATTCAGGCGAATATTAAGAATTTTATCTAAATACGAGAGGTTTGCTTGGTGCCTGAAGATCTACTAATGAATGGAACCTTCTATCAAAAGACAGACGATTCCTTATTTCAAATCTTAAAATCATGACATTAACTTTTTAATATAACTGCCAACCGTAGGCATTGCAAAAGTAAAGAGTTTACCTAAACAAGGAGGTTGTAACGTCACGGACGTTACAGTACCTATGCCGCAACCGTTTGTAAGCCACTCGGACTGCTTAACGTCGCACCCGTAAGACTTGCGAGGGGCTAGGTTTGAGGTCCGTTCGTTGTTGTGCCAGTTAAGGGAGCCAACTTCTGTAAATAGAGGTTTTTCCTGCGTAAAAAATAAAAAAGGTCACAACACTAAACTAACCTAACCCACTGACGACCACAAATACTGATTATGCTTAGCAAAGTTATGCAGAATAAAATTCTGCAAAAGGTAAATGCTTAATAAAATTCTGCTATCTTAAAAGTATGCTATTTGAATTGGGACATATGACCATTCGGCCAATTAATAAATTATACTTTATAAAAAATATGCCTTACAAATATTTGTTCATAGAAGATTATGCCAAGTGTGTTATGCTAAATAAATTTCGAATCAACACGCTTGTGCCAGATAGAGGGAACCCGTTTCCCCTAACTGTGTCTGATGTATTGTATATACATCTTATACATTTTTGGTTACATCTGTATGTAATAAAAAGTATGTAGGTACTTTGTATTGGCATAAGCTTAGACGAATCACAAAAATAAAAAAATGCAAATATTGCCTATTCATTGTTCCGTGTATTACAAAACATTACTTTTGTCTTTAGTCGGCGGCTTAATATGCCTTCCCTATCACTGAGATCCTCGAGATAGGAAATTTTTGTTCACTTATCCTATGACCGGTTACTGCGAAAGTTGTTTTAACTTCCACGATCGTAGTCTGGCCCCAAAAACACTACATCATCGAGCTCTTCAACAAGTATTCTGAAAAATAATTAACACAAATATTCTAAGTAATTTGGTTGTATCAACTACTAAATAAAAGCAACACGGGGGTCTAAAATGCTGATATCGGATGAAACATTCTTTTTTTATTTGAAATTGATGACATTTCATCTATGTGGTCATTTTTGCTCATTCTCGTGCAAATCTGTCAAAAGTCATTTAATTTCATATTGATGAACTTGTAACTTTAAGATAAGTACAATGAAACATGATTATTTTTATGCAATGCACCATTTAAGAAACATGCAATCTCGCTAATTTAGACCCCAACGTGTTAATAAAATAATAGAATGTTTAAAATACAGTACCTACAGTACAACATGAGAAACAATACTATGATTTTTCAGTAAAAATCTCGCGCTCATATCCATAAGTCTTATTTAACAGAAATTATTACATATTATTGGGGGAGGTTGTTATGTTGATATAACATATATTTTTAAATAATGATAGCATAAAATATTATCGGGAGCAGCATACTTCTTGATCAAAACCACAGTGCAAATAAACTTAAACGCAGTAGACGTTTTGACGTGACAACGTCTTATAATTCGATAGAGCCGGTTGCACGCACGAAAAACATGACTCATGAGGCGTTACCTCGCTCTGAGGCGTTCCATTTAAGGCTTGAAGTGCAAGCGAGAGCGCGCAACGAGCGAGATAGAGGCACAATCGGCCTCCGCGTTCGGCAGTGTTCGACATCTGTTTTGTCACGAATTGAACTATGTACATTGTAAAAAAATGTCACGTTCAACTATCGTCAGTAAACAGACTTTATTGACAACCGATTTTTTGTATGAAAAATTGCTACTGCGCAGGCTTCCTTGTCTATCTTTGGTTGTTGCTCAAGAAGTTTGCCGGGACTTATAATTTTTTTTTAAATATTAATTTATCACATTCCAGGGTAAAAGATTGTCCCGGTGTAAAGCTGAAGTGCGTACGCGGCAAACACGACTTGGCACACGTCGTCAAGCAGAAAGCTTAAGTAAACTGTTTTTTGTTATTAATTTTTAGTCAAATTATATAGGAGATAGATTTAAGATCAAATGGTCATTTTATTTATCACTAGCCCGTATAATGCAATGCCTTATCAAAGTTTGTGAACAAGGTGATACTTTACCGCCTTTTTAGAGAGATTATGCTTAATCATGTAATCATCAGGTGTCACTCAATTGTTTTTAATTGATTGTTGTGACTGACGGGGTTCCTAATTGTGCTTAAAAACATGTAACATCTTCTTTAACGTATGGAACACAATAAAACATTGAGTAATAATTCTGACATGATTCTCTAAGCTTAGAACTAAATTTGTCAATAGTTTCTCCTTTTCATTCACTATAAAGCATGATAAGAGCTACTATTGTCAAATTTGGTTTAAAATTCACAGAATCGTGCCACAGCAATAAAGATTATGATTAATCAGTGAGCCTTAAACCTTGATAAATACAGTCTCTATAAGAAGTTGTTTTTTAACCAAATGAAGACTATACATAGGTGTAGTTATGTGCATACACACACACACATTAATACACCATTGGAAAATCCGTTTCCGGATTGGCAGAGCATTTTTCATTATAAATGTAATTTGAACGTAAAAAACTCCATATTTGGCATTATTTGGGTCTTGGGACAATAACACATATTATGTCCAAAATTTTCTCACTAATCCCGCATATCCGGAGGTATTTAATAAATAAGTCTATTGAGACCTGATTGTCAATAGACTTTGAGTATCCGCGTTGGGACTAAGCAATTAGCGCATTATATTAAATCAATCTCTAACCGCCTTATTTCAAAACGCGGACTAAAGTTGGTCTTGTTTAAACCGAATGCTGTCCCTGTCTCCTTTTTGCAAACAAAATTGATAGCATCAGTTTTAGACCAGGTTTAACTTTAGTCAACGTTTGGTAATAAGGCAGTTTATCACACTAATATTATAAAGGCGAAAGTTTGTGAGTGTGTATTGTTACTGCACGTCTGAACGGCGAACGACGGATTTTTACAAAATTTGGTATGGAGTTAGCTGACACCCTGGATTAACACATAGGCGTTTTACTGCGGGAAAATACCCCTAATAACATGCGGGTAACACCGCGGGACACAGCTAGTGTTTAATAAATAAAGGGTAGTCGATGTTTCTGAATGCGGCCGATAGGAACTAGAAAATAACAACTTAGGTCACCCTATGTTTTTATTTTACACGATACACGATAACATCACAGATTTGTAGCCCACTAAACGACTCTTCTAATTGACGTCAAAAGCAAAATCTATTTTTATGCTAAAACCCAAATCTACTTAATCTTCAAATGCTAACATTCATAAAGTATACAATAACCTTATAATTTTGGTTATTTTGGTGTAAATAGTTTCTACCGAAAATAAGCGCAACTGGTTCTGTTCTAAAAGTAACAAGCTATGACAATCAAATTAAAATCTTTACATAACCTTCTGGGTATATAGGAAATTGCAATAACTGTCAACATAGCGGACGCGTCGTGGTATCAACATCTGCATCAAATTGGCAGCTGCAATTTAGCATTCACGCAAACCTGTATCTTATGACAATAGTACAAAGTCCAAAATTGTTGGGAATACATGCATTTGGAAGTGGTCAATAATAATATTTGTTGGTGATTGTTAGGTCGCGCGCCTGTCATTTGGGAGAACCCTTCCGCGTGGACCGGGGATTATGTCCTCGGGGATTTGGGACGGACTGCAAAAAAATTATCATGCCAAAAGCGTAATAGAACCGTTTCGTTTGGCGCACACGAAATATAACACCTAACGGTCGTCGTGGATAAGTCAGCTTTATCTTGCGTCTTAGTTAGGTTTTTGAGCAAATAGTTTTTTTTTTTGTCTAAACGCTCGTCTATGTTTGATTTAAATTTGAAGAACCAAAACCGTGTACAGAATGTTTTGTCTGTTGACTTGCAAACTACACGTTCTCGTAAGGTTGTAATCCAGCTCGAAGCACCAGGACCAATGCTCTAACTGCCCTGATAAATGTCAAAAATTTACAACGGTGAAAATAGTAAATTTTGATAAAAATACTTAGGGTATCAATAGATCGAATATCAATAAGTATCAATAGAAATGATTCGAGCTGTAAACGTTCAGGCAATTTTATTGTTGGCTCCATCCTGTAATAGATTTTGTGTGATGTGTATAAATATTTGTTACCAAGTCATGATTGCATATATAATTATGTAAGTTTTATATACCTACGTTATTCAGCTTCCATACTTCAAGGTTTTTGATGTTTGGGTTGCGTGAAATTTAGTATAACAACTGTCTGCTCTGTTTATATTGGAAATCCTTTGCCCTTGCACATGACAGTAAAATAACAGTAAAACAATAAAACTTGCTGCACTTAGCAGTAAAAGAACAGCAAAACAATGTCAAAATTAATCTTTTCATCTTAGACCTACATAATAGTCAGTTAACTATCAGACAATTATTTGGGTACCTAGAAATTGTTTTCGATGCAACACCACAGTTTGTCCAATGTTACTAACCGTACGTTTGTTACATAAGCGAACTGCTAAACTCGCGCGAAGGGTGGAATGAATCAGCGCATTGCGAACTGACCATCGGCTATAATCCCGTAGAACCATTCGCACCTCACCCACAATGGTGCACATTGTCACAGTTTTGCATGACTTGAGATTTCCATTTGCGATTACGCACACCAATTTTGGAGGCTTTTATGCTCATTCAACGTTTTGACTCCGGCAAAAAGTTGAATAAGTACTCAATACCTTTCACATATTTTATTTAGAGAATGCATGTAACCCGTTCCAATTCCAATGTCGTTGATAATAGATTTGTCAGTTTGTTCACTAGTAAGTATTGGTGAGTAAAAGGTTGGTAAGTAACGAGAAAAGTGAGATAAATAATGTAACTCATTGTGAGATGATGTATTAAGAAAGGTAAACTTATATGCAAATACAATAATTTTTCAACTTAATAGGATTACGGCATTTGGGTGCTCGTTATGTAAATTCCTAGTGCAGTCCAAAAGTAGCAACGATTTAAAATATAAGTATATATATGTACAATTTAAGTCAAATTAATGCAAAATTCCGAGTCTGGAACTTGAGAAGCTACTTCGTGGATTACTTACTGAGAAAATCACTACGAGAAACATTCAGCTGTATTTTAACATAGCATACAGACATCGCGATAAAGTCACTATTAAAATTGAAACAAAATTGACTTAATTAGATAATAATGCCTGCTCTTTGGTGACTAAAACTTACCTGCATTTGTTACAGATAATATGCATTTTCAATCAATAAACTACACATTTTAGTAGGAACATCTAAGTATAAGTAGGTATACCATTGCTAAAGGCACACAAGCTTCTAAGCAAATTAAAAAAGTTTTTGCAATGTCCTGACCTGGAGTCGATTCCGGAACTGCCAAATTTTATTTTGCCCTGGAATGGAACTTCTAAGCATCATCGTCCACTTCCCGCTCGGCTTCGAAAACTCGTCTAGCATTACGTTATTTAACGCTTTTTGTAAGTAAAGTACATTACTGCAGTGGTCAGCAAAAGGAGGTTTGATGAACGAACTTGTAAATATGGACACACGCGCAAGTCCATCAATGCCTAGTTGTGACTAAGACTTGTATAGTAACTTTCTCAAAAGATGCGCGGGAATCATAACTAATAGTACCTACCTTATTTTAAAATGCAATTACTTATTTTCAAAATTAATGACGAACAACAACACTCATTAATTTTTTTTCCAATAAAGAACTTTCCATATTTGCAGGTCAGTTCGAAATTTAAATAAACCCTTTGATAAGTTACCTCCTTGGTTATCATGTTTCAGAGTAAAAGGTCGTTCCGTTTTTAGATAACACGACAAATATGTAATATGAGTTTACTGCAGTGCGACCAAGATCTTTATGATAGTTCAGGGAGGGCGCCACTGTCGATGTAAATGACCATAAATGTTACACAAATATGAAAATTACAAAGAAGGTGACGTTAGTTCCAATTTTCGCCATCTTCATTAAGATCTTGGTCGCACTGTATGTAATTTATTTGGCCGAGAAACACAACAAATATGGATTTTTATACATTTTTTGCCGGCCGCTGCTCGCATGTATTCTATGTGGCCACTACAGCAATTTCGATTTATCTCTAAAAAGGTTGTCAAAATAATGTTCAGATTTCCAAGCATGTTTGAGAAATAACTATTATTTTCATGTAGGTACAACAAAAGTTAAGCTCAAGCTTTATTCAGTTCATTACGAATTGAGTTTTGATAGTGAAACCATCTATAAAACTCAGCTATTTATGATCAAATCGGTAGAAAATCTACTATAAGAAACCAAACCTGTGGAAAATCGCTTCCGTATTCGTTTACAGTTAAGTGTGTACAGTGCGTGTGCGTGGGACCTCCCCGATACAAACTTTCTCATAGAAAGCGCTTACGCATCGAAGCGTCGACCGTGAAACCTCTAGATGAAAAAAATAATGCTTCAAATCTTTCTTTTCCAATTTATCATCAATGTATTTTGTTTATTAATTTGTATCTTATTCATAAAGTATATTTGTAACCCCAACCATTAGGTACTGTGCTGTAAAGCATCAATAATTCAAGACTGGCTAAAGCCGCCATAAGTTTCAAACTTTATTATTAACCTACTACAATGTATTTTGCGTAGACCCATTGCTAAATGCCGATGCCATCATCATAAGCCTATTTATGCCCCCACTGGAAGGCACAGGCCTTCCCTATGGATGGAATAGGGAGACTGGGCGCGGGCCCAGTGCGGATTGGTGACCAGCGGCTTAACGTGCCTTCCGAAACACGGAGGAACTTGAAATAGCGAAAACTTATTTTGCTCACCCATCCTTAAACCGACCATTTCGACAGTTGCGTAACTTTCACGATCGCAAGCCGAGCTCGCTAACCACCTGTGCCATCGAGCTCCTTCTTCTGCAAAACTACTCAGTTTTGTAAAGGAGCTCGATGACCGATAGGTTCCATAATAAAAGTTCATTTTCCTCGTT